CGGACATTCCACAACTTACAATCGTCAACCTGTGAAGGGTTGTAGGCGTACTGGTGTAAGTCCTGCAATTCTTCAAAGGAATTCCACCAAGACATGATCGGCGAGGTTGTTTGTACTATTTGTATATACGTGTGGTGTGTCATATCAATTGGTGTTTTTGGATTCATTGTGTTTACTTGTTGTTTTCGTATCTTGTTGTTATTGCGTAATTTTGTTAAAATTTTCGTCGTGATTATTTCTGAAGTTGTTTCGAGTCTTCTACATCCATGAATGAATTGATTGATGTTAAGGACAGCAGATGGGTCGTATACGCCGGGGAGGCTATTGCTGAGAATGAAATGCACACGGAGATAATTGTTAGCTGCGGTCCGACACGCCGGGGAGAAAGAGTGTAAACGACTGAGGCTCGCATGCGTCACCGCTACTAGAACTGAGGCAGAATGAGTGACAAGCGATTTCAGTGATAATTGATAGTGAATAGAAAAGAGGATGCTTGAAGAGTATCATGAGGTGCTGCTATGGTCACGTTGCATTCTGCAAGAGTCATTCTAGTAAGTGGCGATTGTGTTGCAAGATGTCAAGAGGAGGTCTCTGTCTGGAGGCGCAGGTCGTCATTGATGTGTGAGATTGTGCTGTGGGTATGCTTGTGGTGTGTTGGCTTTTCTGTTTGTTTTCCATTTCAGCTCTGTCCGTGTGACCCAGGTTCTCGCAATGGCATCCAAGTCAACGTGCATTGATCGTGAAGGAAAAAAGGGTTGGATCCCTTTTTTGCCGGGGAGTGTCAATGGAGTTGAAGATTGAACGATCAATTCTTGGTTGTTTGCTCAAAATCAACTTCCTCGATTTTCGCGGAGGCATCAATACGACAGTCATCGTCTCATCGGTCGCTGTTCAGAAAGAAGAGTGAAACATCGTCAGAAGTAATCTTATGATTTATTATTGTAATATTTGTTTTCAGACCTTAGTTTACTTAGTTCGCTTATTCCTTTTATATGTTGGTGTAACAATAAACAGAAATATCAAACGGCAGATCGGTGTTTTGGTTTTTGCGTCCGTTATAACTAAGCGTTTCTGAAAACTCAAAAGAACAGCGTGGGCCCGAGCGTAGCGAGAGCTGGGCATTAACGGTTTATGAGACGTGATTGACAGTTGTATATGCGATAATAGCAACAGGTTTCTTTCTACCCGGTAGTTTGTCGACCTCTGAGATACGAGATGAGAAGCCAAAACAGTTTACAATAATAATTACTTATATATCGTATAAACAGATAAGTTCATAAGAAATGAACGCCATTTCTACAGGCACGACTGAGTGACCCACATAGTCCTGACTCCGGTGGCTTTTCAAGACATTTTGCTGGTGACTTCAGTGCAATGTAACTAAAAGTGAAGCAACATATCCGTAAAAACGTTGTTGACTCAGGCATTTCGAATTCCGACAGGGCCGCCGATCTCTATAAAACTATTAAGTGCAACTAATACCAGTATGCAGAGAAAACCATCCAGGGTAGTCCATTTCTTTATAAACCATTGCACACTCACAGAGAATTTACGGTTGGAGACACCGGTAGCCATCAGAGATGTCACTCGGTATGAGCTAGTCAAATGCAACTGTGACCTTCGATGCTGCAGTGGCGAAGTCATTTTTACAAAGGTGACAAATTTTCTCTTTTTAGTTCTTTGGCCCAACGATATTGCTTTCTGTCATCAGATGAGATTTAGTGGTCGATGAAGGATTTCATGGGATTACCTATTATTACTCCCATCGCTTTTATGAAGACAACACAAAAACGAACTCGAGTGCCGGAAAGGTGAACAAAGAATCTTCTTAAGGTATTGGAACTCAGTCGAAATGGAGATGCTGGGGTAAGAAACCAGACAAATCTTATATTAAGCAGGGTCACGTACATCTAATCGGAAAACCGCGAATTGGACCGAAGGAGCTTAGCTGAATGATGGCGTGCAAGGAACGCGTCATTCGGAGACAGCGTGTTGTTGGAAGTCTTCAGTCGACTGCACCCTTCAAGGATTGGTCTGTACACCCCCTGCACAGTCTGAATTATCAGACTACAAATACATCCGAGTGTGAATTTACAGAAGGCCTGCGGGATAAGTCAGTTAAAATCCCCTAGGTGATATGACGTGAGGCAGCTAATTATCAGACAGTGATCTGAAGTTCCATTTTTCCCTTCCATGAAGTTGTCTCAGTGCACGCCGAACAAGCTGGAGTTACCGACGGAGCGGAAGAGCCGTATCCCGCCCGACACTTTCACAGAAGCGATTAACGAATTCCACACTGCCTTACAGGAATATGCAATTTGAAGGCTCGAGATATTTCTCATTTTTATGAGGGCTTAGATCTTTATCTTGAAAAAGATAATAATGAACGCCTAGACAGATCATGCTTCTACCTTTAAATATATACCATTCGCTCAGCCTATTGTTGAGATGCGACCACCCGGGATCTGCTCAGATTTATGAGTCATCTTATGAATTAACTTGCTATCCATTGTCAGATCTTTAAATACCACTTCACAATGTCTTATCTCACCCATTTTCTAATAACGTCTTTACTTGATCCTCATTATATTCCATTAAACCTAACATTTTATAGCTCTTTATGAATTTGATCCAACTTATTCTATTCGTATTCTCTGGAGGGTACGGTTGTGCACCAAATAGACAAAAAGGGATGAAATAAAAGCAACTGGCTTGAAAATAATTGTATTAAAGCCAAAAGTGGACATCATGATAGTACAAAATATATTGATTTTATTATACATTGCAAATGAACGTTGTCGGCCTAAGGATTAATTACTTCCCCATTCTGTTTTCTATATAAATGTGTTTATTAATGATATATTTCACTCACATAATCTATTACACTTTGATGTTTCACCTTAGCACTTTAACGTTTCTAAAACAGCTTCCAATCCATTGTAAACGTTGTACTTACCTCAATATTGGTTGGTTATCGTATGCCTACAACCACGGGATGAAAACGAAACGAAGTCGATTTTCCCGCTCAACCTGGAGGACAACTGTACAATTCAATAACTATACGGCCTGGTTCAGACAGTGAGTGTAATTATATATATATCAAATATTTAACTGTTGAAACATTATTAACTTGTAGACAATTTAAGATTTGACATTATACCATACTTGATCGTGCCTGTAGAAATGGCATCCATTTTCATGTAAATTTATGTTTGTATGAAAATAAAAATTATTATTATTATTACAAGAAGACCGTTGCTGGAAATTATATCAAAGATGATGGAAGGTCTGTTGCCAGCCTACATAAGAAAACCTTAGAATCAGAAAAAGTACTGCCAGAAGCTGGGCGCGGTCGAAGAATAAATTAGTTCTACCCCACCAACTTGATGGAGCTCCAGAACAACTCGTCAGGACATTAAAACCAGAATATTTCAGTTCGTGTTGTTCCCAGACCATGCTGTGAACACCCTATATCACAAAAATTGTCCCCTGGAAATTTTGAAGATAACGACATCCTAAGAAAGAGCCCTCCAAGAAGGCGAAGAATTCTGTGTGAATATGACTGAGATCCACTGTACATATAAAACACCATTTTCTGGAGTGTCGTAACCACCTGTTTCTGGTCCACTGTTATTCTCGTTTTCTAAAATTCACGAATCGCTGTAAGCTGTCTGATACCCTTTCACTGATATAAGTATAAAACCTTCACACTGATGGATGCGAAGCTGAGGCGTGTTGCAAAAAAATTTGGAAAATCCTCTCAGATTTCAGGGCGAAGTGAATTACACATAGGCGACAACTACATCGGTGACACAGACAAGGTAATTACATCCGTCACGTTCGTGAACATGCACCTAGGTGAGTGTGCATCTGAGCTGTCTCCTCAGTTTTTCAAAATAGGTACACAGCCAAAGCAAGAAGTTCTTGCACTGAAATTCTGAAGTCAGATGACAATAATTCATAGAACGTCTAATGGAGAGGATAAAAGCTATCCTTGAGTCTTCAGATGCCTCACATTAGACTCATAATCTGTATAGTTGAATAGGTAACTCCACAGTTCTTACCCCTCAAAAAGTGCAGAACTACTGTTCATCGGAGAGTTCGAAGCTAGGTACCTAGACGTTAGAAGAGTGAAATAGTATTAGTACAGGGAAGGCTAAAATGGGCGATTATGTGGCATATCCCTTTTTTGGAGTGGTGACACCTGTCTCATGATGCGTGTATTATTGAATTTCAACAAGTAGGCCGAATAAACTAGCATGTATTTTTATCATCAATAACCAGAAACTACCGGATATCCCGTGAAAAGGAATCTATGTGTTCATACGATGTCATCACAGCGATATCAAATTTTCGATGGTTGACCAAATATACCTCCTTCGCATTAGTTGCGCACACTCCCGGCTCTTTAATCTGAACTAAGTTATTGCTAGAGTTGTGAATCTTTCCCGTTTAAACAGGGAGGCTTTCAAAAGTAGCTTAGCATTCAGATGAATCCTTAGATATAGAGAAATACTGCGAACTTTTGTTTCCCTGAACACAGGGCATCAACATTGCATTACTATTATTATCATTATTACCAATATATATATTATTCATATTATTCTTCAAATTTAATAAGCTTGCTGCTGTTACGTTTTCTTATTTCTTTTTCTGTCTGTTAGTCTGAATAACTTCACTAATTGTACCTATTATTATTATCTCTTGTCTTTTGACGAAGATACCGGAGGACTTACTGGTGAAAAGATCAACTCCATTCACAGTAGTAACAGTCTTAACACACCTCATACTACAAACCACATATAATTAATCCCAGCACTACTCCTTTTGTAGTCAACCAAAGCGACTAGAGTCGAGTGGCGGACGAGCTGCGCAGAAGTTTACCGAAGGTCAAGAACCTATACATCACAATCAAGAGGCGAGCACAAAGAAATCAAATTGGTTTATATTAACTGGTAAGAACAATATTGGGTATTGAACACAAACCCTCTTTTTAGACAGTTCGGTACGAATTTGCGTGCTTCATTTATGTGCTCGTTTGACTGAGATGTTACTCTTACTGATTTTTCAGCCGAAAAACTGTTAACACCATTTAGAATCTTAGAAAAAGATTTCAAGGGGGTACACATTGTATCCAACCTACACTTCTGATGCACAGCGGAGAATGTATACGTTATTTATTCCTGGCTTTTAAGTATCTGAATTCGAATAGTAGGAGGAATTTTAATTAAAACTTATTCCAGGTTGTTGGGATCTGGCGTTTGTAAATCATATTGTCCCGGCATCTAATTATTTAAAACCCCTGGTGTGTGATATGGTAGAGGAGATCTTCGAATGTAGCTGCCCGTTCATAACCTCTGCCATGAAACTCACGGTGACTGAATAAAGCAGTTTATTCTCACAAAATGAAAGTTTCGGAAACAAAGGAGGTATTCCCTAAAATCCTGTCTAGTACATCCTAGTTTGGTTTCTCGAACAGATACGCGCGTATTTGTCATGTAGAAAAAGACGTTATATGTGTAATTTCTGTATTTGGTGTATTTATGAGCAGTCGGAATCTGCCCATATTTGCCAGCAGAGGTGAAGTATGCATTTTGCTGTCTGCCATATAGATGTTATGGTTATGGTCTTTCAAACAGCCCTGGAACACAGTAAAGCACTGTAAAGAACAGCTGAGTTGAATTGTACATTAATACTTGTCCACAATAAGGCGTTACATTTGGCCAAGTGAGTTTGAGTGACACTCAAGTTTGTAAGTGTCCGAAAATATCAGACACAGACAATATACTAGTAATTCTTTTCAAGATGTGTTATCATTTTATTTTATTACTATTTTCGTTGAAAATATCGAGCAATCAAACTGTTTTCATTTGAAAAGCATTGTAATACATAAGTAATACATGGTGGTCGTTTTAGGGCTTACGTATAGTAGTTTCGTCTAAGTAGTCTGTCATCCAAGGAATAAGTGATTGTTCTCCCCTTTGTTCACTGAGTTTGTCAAGGGCATCGGTATTTGTCTATGTAAATGAAACTATTATTTGGACACCGTTGAAATTAGTCTTGTATCCACTTTCCATTGCATGTATAGTATAACACACGACATAGATATCGCATGGTTAGTAGCAGCGTTTGCATATTAGAGTCTCTTATTTTAAAAGACTGATTACTGAGTAAAGAATCATTACTTTCAATGACCTGCTTTTCATCACTTTCTTCAGATCCCCACAATTATGTTGTCGTCTGCAGTAAATTTTAGAGGGCACCTAAATAAGCCTAGTTCGTGTAGAAGTCGTGGTAGAGCGTGGTAACCAGTTCACTTATTTAGGAAGTTACACCAGCTGAGCCAAGGCCTGTGGCTTGATCTGTTGGTTGACGAAATCTCAGCCCGATACGGATACACAAGGCTCGTTTGGCACTTTTCAGCCAACTTACTCCATCTCTGGTGTGCTTACTGGACGTGATTTCCGGCTGGCTGGCTAGCTGTGGACCAGAGGACGTGTGTACTGTTCAGCAGTTCGCTGCCTCCTTCTTGGCTGGCTGTGAGGCATGGTCATCGAAAGTGAAATGTATGAAAAGCCAGGCTAGCTAGCTAGCTGTGTTTGATCATAGGCGTTTGCGTTTTATCTCCCGTACTAGTTGGTGGGTGTAGTAGGGTGAGCTATATCGAAGCGAAGCATCGGTTGAGTGCTAGGTAAGGAGGGCAAATCAATCAACGAGTTTGTGAAGTGACACGGATTGAGATGGTTAGGACAGGTGTTAGGTGGACGCATGAATACCCATCTCCTTCTTCGACTACGGGCGATGTTAGTCACTGACATAGGTTGGATGTCTGTCTGTTTTCGACATAGAACTTTGCACAAATGTGCGGAAGTTCAAGTCGCCACACCGTGTAGCACGCGAAGCAAGAGAAGAAAGTACAAGAAAAGCATAATAGAAACAGTGAGCAGAGGTGTGAGACAAAGGAGTAATAACGAAGAACAAAACAGTTTCATTGGAGATCATAAATCACAAGGAGTGGATGCATCTGCGCCACTGAGAACGATTTTGAGCCATGTCACCAATTGTTTCCAACCATTGATTTTTACCGTCTCGAGGACCCCAGCCTGGAAGTCTACACCTTCCTACGTGGCTTAGACCAACTGTTGTGGATTTCATTGACTGATGCCAAGTTTTTGTTTGACCGCCGCTAGCTTTTTTCCAGCCTGACCCTATATCCGCTAACATCGCTCGTCGAGGGAGGCGATGACTTGGCATACGTAACACGTCCTAACCATCTCAGTCTTTGTTACTCCACGACTTCGTCGATTGGTTTCTCCTGTTTACCTAGCACTCGACGCCTAACTTCAATGTTGCTCACCTTATTATGCCACTTTACACGGGAAATAGAGCGCAGGCACCTATGATCAAAGACAGCTAGTCTTTTCATGTCTTCCACTCTGAATGGCCAGGTCTCACAACCATAAAGGAGGACGGAGCGGACTGATGAGCAGTACACCCGCCCTTTGGTCGATAGTCGAACATCTCGTCTACGCCAGAGTCGGCGTAAACTAACAAAAGCGAAACGAGCCCCTCGTATTCGTGCTGAGATTTCGTCAGAGATCAACCCGTTGGCGTTGGCTGATGGTACTTCCCAAATAAGTGAAGCGGTCAACGTGCCCTACCACTTCACTTCCTATTTTTAAACTAGGCGTCGATGTAGTCCAGTCCTGTAACATCATCTTGCATTTGGCTGGAGCGAATCGCATGCCAAACATTCGTACATTTCTGCTCAAGGTGTTTAGAAGACTCCGCATTTTGTCAGCGTCGTCGCCTAGAAGGACTATATCGTCTGCATATTCCAAGTCAACGAGATTATTCTCTGGTAGCAAGTCAATCCCTGAGTCGCTGAAGTCACTTAGGGTTAAGTCCATTAGTACATCTATGATGAAGTTGAATAGAAAAGGGGATAATGGGCATCCTTGACGGACACCACTAGTCGTCACCAGTTCAGACATAGGTTGGATGAGTTTGGAAAGGGAGTTAGCTAGTAAGTGGTGGTGGCGGTCAAGTAAAAACATGGCTTCATCAGTCAATGAAATCCAAAACAGTTAATTTAAGCCAGTCAACCAGTCAGTAACGTAGGGAGGTGTAAACTGACTAACTGACTGACTGCTTCGTTGGGGTCCTGAGGATGGTGGTGTGAACCAATGAAGACTGGAGACAATCGGTGATATGGTTGGCTTAAAATCGTTCTCGGTGATGGCTGGCGGAGATGCATTCACACTTACTTTGTGATTTATCAAATCCAATAAAACTCTATTGCTCTTCCACATTACTATTCATTTTGGCTCACTCACATTTCTCTTACTCTTTATTTTTTTCTTTTGGTTTGTGTGGTACATGGAGGGAGTTTGGTAACTGGAAGTGGTGCACATCTGTGCAGATTTCTACGTTGAGATCACTCAGTCAGTCGTATAGGAGTCGGAAATGGTTGGTGTTCACAATAGTTCCTCACTGAAAGTGTACTTTGTTGATCTGACTGTCGGATATTTGTAACGTTTTCCTGCTATCTAATTTTCCTTATAGGTACTTAAGAACTCGTAGTCCTTACACGGCATATTCTTTGTCTGGTGGTCGGGTCAGTGTCAAAACATATGATGGTAATTTGACTACGCTTCACCTGTGCATATTGCTTTCAATAGATACATCAAACAGATTCTGAAGATATTGTTGAAGAGAGAGTAATCAATGAAGAGTATAAGATTTGGAAAAGAAATACACCTTTCTTATACGATATGCTTATGTCACATTGTCTAGAATGGCCAAGTCTAACTGCTCAATGGTTACCATCTGTAGAAAAGTAGGTAGTTTTTTTGTTTTCCTTCATAAATACATTTTTTTGAAGGACTGGAAGAGATTATTCTGTTCACCGTTTAATACTTGGGACTCACACGTCAGATGAACAAAATCACCTACTGATTGTTACAGTTCATCTACCAAATGACCAAGCAGAATTTGATGCGAGTGCGTATGATAGTCAACGGGGTGATTTTGGTGGATTTTATTTTCCATCTGGCAAGTTGGAAATATCGATGAAAATAAATCATGAAGGGGAGGTTAATCGTGCTCGGTTTATGCCACAAAATTCAGATATAATAGCTACTAAAACACCAAGTGGAGATGTTTTAATATTTAATTATCCAAGTCACCCTCCGAAATCATCATTGGACCGAGGTTGTCAACCAGATTTACGTCTTAAGGTAAGATAAGATACAGTTGTACCTTTTTTGTGTCAATGTTTGATCTTAATTGTTGTTTTCACCACTAGTTTCCGCAAAACATGTCAAATATTTATAACATGACATATAAGCGAAGAGTATCATTGTTTTCAATTAGGTCTTAAGGCTTTACTCTAGCTTACATATATATATATATATATATATATATATATATATATATATATATATATACATATATATATATATATATGTATATATATATATATAGGAAATGTAACCAATGATGATGAGTTTGTGGATCAAATAATAAAGTAATAATAATGGTGTTATCTGTCTCATTCCGTCGAACCTTTCGAACGGAATTCAAACCTGTCTTTTAAACACAGTCGAAGTTATGGGAATTAATTCAAGAGAATAATCCTAGTCTTTGCATACAACAAAAGAAGTTTGTTCCTTTGTTCCACTGGGAACCCAAGGTAATGATAGTAAATTTCTGGATGGAAATTATTCATGAATTGTTTTGAATTCTTTACGAGAAATTGAACATTTGTAGTATCCCTTATTATCTAGAGGTAATTGATATTTTCTAGTATGTATTATACAACATTAATTGTCACGTGTTGTCCCACTACTTCATTATCTTCTGGTCTTTTCAACATTTTAGGGTCATCAAAAAGAAGGTTATGGATTGTCTTGGAATGTATCACTAAGTGGTCATCTTCTTTCAGCCTCTGATGATCAGACAATATGTTTATGGGATATTAATGCAGCACCACTAGATGGTTGTAATCTGAATGCTATGGCTATCTTTACAGGACATCATTCAGTTGTAGAAGATGTTTCATGGCATCTTTTTCATGGCCATGTTTTTGGATCGGTAGCTGATGATAATAAACTTATGATTTGGGATACACGTAGTTCAAATCGTAGTAAACCACAACATCAAGTTGATGCGCATACAGCTGAAGTTAACTGTCTGGCTTTCAATCCATTTTCTGAGTTTATTATTGCAACAGGCAGTGCAGACAAGGTAGGTAACTGACTTATGCAACACAAAATTTTATTTGGTGAAGTACAATGATAAAGTATATATATATATATCCCGACCGAAAGCTGCTACCTTGACGTGGTGGTCGGGCTTGAACACCGCAATGACCTAATCAAGCTATACGGGCTGAGACTTATGTCTCTTGAGGTTCTACCATGCCAGGCAGGTTGTTTGGATAGCGGTTAAACAAAAAGCAGCTACCCAATCCAACATCATGTCCAATACAAAATTACAAAATTTCATGCCGGATCGGCCGTGGCCCGGATTAACAACGACCGCGCTTCCTGCTGCCGTGTCACAGGGCGGGAGTGATAAATCTGCTACTGAGACACACCAAACAAAAAAGAACAAACAAAAACAGGCCGCGTGTGACCGGCCTCAAGCAGTTGTCCCCTGGGCTCTGCGGTCACGCAACCAACTTCCACGGTGTGGGCAGCCGGGAAGTAACAATCGCCCTCACAATCCGAAATGCACAGACATATATATATATATATATATATATATATATATATTCCAGAAACTCCATACCTTTATTCCCCTTTTTTGAATTTGAATAAAGCATGAACGAAAGTTTTTGCAGAATAATATGGTACCACCATTGCTATTTCGTTGGCTTCTCATCAACTGTTTACAGCTTGCAAGTTTTACATGATATCAGTTTACAGGAGGTACCGGACTTAGCGAACAGTGCTCAGAGAATTACGCTTATATAGTTTTTATACAGGGAGTTCACTGTTAAACAAAATCAGTGTATGCATACAATGGTAAACGAGTCACGTAATGAAGACGAGAGGTGCATAAGATGATGAGTAACTAATAAATTGGGTGACAATGTACTCAGCTCAACTCAAATCATAGAAACAGTAGACAAGCAAAATTACACTAAATCAAAGTGGGTGGGGGTGAATTTGAAGCCAAAGATAACGTAGTCAAATGAAAGACAGAGATAGTGAAGGCATCCAGTTATCAGGCAGAAGGGCAGGGAAATACTGGTGATAACTACTCCTTTCTGAACATACAAATCGGGTTTCAAGCATTTGATAGAGATTGATGCGGCAAACTTGAGGAGAATTGAGCTTTTTCGTCTATTGATAATTTTAATGGATTTCGCAATTTCCACCTGATGACCTGTATAGAGGAAATGTCTGGTAATGGCACTATTGTAAATTTTTTTCCCATAAGACGTAGGATTTTTGGCAAATGTTCAGAAAATCGGAGGTGTGCCTTTCCTGTTTCTGTTCTCCCAATATAACTGCTCCCGTAGATACCCGTAAATTTACATACACAGTTAGAGTTATTAACATGAGAAGGGTATCTGTCGAATTTCGACTGCACCAAAACCACGTCCAATAGATGGAAATCAACTTAGCTAGTTGCAAGATAGGCTGTGGCTATTGACGTCCTTAATCTTCTGTTGAAAATTGCCATACTATTTTCACCATTAAAATCAAGTTGAATGAAGATGGGCTTTTTCCCACTGTGATTTGTTTGACATTTGAGCGTTCAGATCTCCCCTACTTGTTAATGAACCTTTGGGGGTATAAAGCTAGCTGTTGACGAATGGGTCCCAACTTCTCTGCAAGCCAACAAGCAACCTTATGCTGAGGCGAGTCGATCATGAAAAGTATAGGTCTCTGGGGGACTTCTTCTGTGCGTTTTTTCGGAAGAGTATACGTGTACGGCAGACGGGACTCTCAGGATTTTAAACCATTGTAAGTACTGTTGTCAATCCATTTCTCCCTTAAATGATCTCTCAGTACGTTTGTGTTGCGTTTTTCAGTTGCATCTGTCCTATCTTCTTGGCAGTCGTCAACTGTAAAGCTTAACAAGTCATTTAACACAGTTTCCATCTTTGATATGTAATCGTCTTTGTCTACCAGCACCACCTTTGAGCCTTTCTAAGGTCGCAATATGACAATTTTATAATTATTTTTGAGAGCTTTCAACACCCTTTGATAACCCTAAGGGAGGATTTTTGAATATAACGTTGGTGAAGTGAGGTGTTGATTTGCAACGTCGACCAGCATAGATTTGAACCAGCTCTTCTTGTCCTCATCAGTTGGAATAAAGTCATTCAGCTGATAGAATAAGTTTTCAAACTGACCTGCTACATCGATTTTTTTGATAAAGTTATTTGCGATTTGAAGTTTTCAGAAGTTATTCTGTAGGGATTTGATTGGTTTCACGTTTGACCATGAATTTATGTCACAGTTGGAGAACCATTGAAAAATCAGTCAGGGAGCATTGAACAGGGTTGTTGTTTCTTCCTAGTACTTGGGACCCTTTAGCACTATGCACCTACTGGGGGATCGAACCCATAACCTTCCGGTTCCAACGTGAGCTCGTAGACCATTCAGCAGCTCATTGCGACCGCATTCAATGGCCCGGGAATTCCAACTTCTACCAATTTGTGATTTCCGTGTGATCACTAACCGATGTCATCGCTGGTATTTGTCCTCACACCCGACCTAATGAACCCCACTAGTCACGACTTCCTAATAGAACTCATTCCACGCAGTTTCACTTTATAGCCAGTCACTAGGAGCATCAGATTAATTTTCAAGAGTTGCTTTGTAACCGTAGGGTTCTGCATTAGAACCTCAGTGTCTGCATGGGTATTGATGATGAGTCCCAAACTAGGACGAAACAGCATTTGTCCAATACACCTTGATTTCTAATGGTTCTCCAACTGATATCAATTCGTGGTCAGACTTGAAAAACAAAAGAAATCCCTAAAATTAACTCTCATTTTTTTCTTATCATCATACTACCACTCTTATATCCAGAGTAACTTATTATTTGTAATTTTTTCACGGGTATTAGGTAGACCAAGCAAGAAATCATTATTGAGTTTCACAGGGAACTGACTGACTGGTTGACTGATAGATTTTTAACGTCAAACTTTGTACAAAAGTGCAACACTTCAAGTTGCCACATTCCGTGTTATAGCATATATATATATATATATATATATATATATATATATATATATATATATATATATACCTCTGGCCTTCATATTGTGTTTTTCTGTGTTCTTGTTATATCTTCCATGTATTTCCGCAACGCTCTGTATTATTTGCTTTCTCTGACATAAAATCTGTCTCCTTGCTATTTGATGTTTTTTATGCCGATGGACATCTCTGTATATACTACTGCTGATGAAACTTATCAGTAGTACACTCCACACTACCATGGTGGTGTGTCATAGTCAACTGTTCTGCTGACTTTAGATAAGGTTGAAGAAACATTATGTCACCTAACTAAACACATCAATGGACACATTCATTTACTGATAAATTTCATCAGTAACACACGGCACATAAGGATCTTACTGTTGTTACTGGTGTAACTTTGAAGTTTAGGTGTTGTAAACTATAAAAAAAGGTACACGTAGTATAGAATTAATATATCAGACTGACTAACGATCAAAGAACGTGTGTTACTGCTAATCATCTCGCTCCGTTCTCCTTAATAGCTGGCTGGCTGTGAGACATGGTCATTGAAAAGCCTAGCTGTTTTGGTCATAAGCGTCTGCATTATATCTACCTCCCGTTTTAGGGAGTTAGTGTGACATGAGTAATATTGAGATTAGTCAACGGTCGAGCGCTAGGTGAAGAGCAGGGGAAATCAACCAATGAATTTGTGAAGTGACACCGGTTAAGATGGTTAGGACAGGTGCTAGGCGGACGCATGAAGACCCATCGCCTTCCTCGACTACGGGCGATGTTAGTCACTGACATAGGTTGGATGAGTTTGGAAAGGGAGTTAGCTAGTAAGTGGTGGTGGCGGTCAAGTAAAAACATGGCTTCATCAGTCAATGAAATCCAAAACAGTTAATTTAAGCCAGTCAACCAGTCAGTAACGTAGGGAGGTGTAAACTGACTAACTGACTGACTGCTTCGTTGGGGTCCTGAGGATGGTGGTGTGAACCAATGAAGACTGGAGACTATCGGTGATAAGTCTCAGAATCGTTCTTCCGACTTTGAGTTTTCTCTCTTTTGTCTCCGTTTGTTTGGTATTACGGAGTGTGGCGACTAGAATTGCTGTACTTCTGTGTAAACGTCTATGTGAAAGCTAGTAGGTCAGTAGTAATATGGCATATTAGGGTGATGCATTTGTATCGGAAGGTTTATGTTTATCCTGGTCAATAAATTGATTTGTAACTGTCAAAATGGTTAATTATTTCACGATTGATTTGATATTGTATTCACTATTATGGGGGTTTTAGTACTGACTATCTTTATCATACCATGAATAATTCCATCCAATGGACGTCATTTTTTTGTCTGAAGGATGGTAAACTGAAGAACCTGACTGTAACGACTGCTTAATGTAAGTTTATAATCTGGCACTGTGATATAATTCTATATTAGGTAGGTTTATTTCATATAGCAAACGTAGTGTATTAATCATTCAATGACTTCGTGCATAGTTGATTGCTTATAATCATATCAGTTTCTTCGTACGACTTGATAACTTGACTGACTGTCTTAGCGGTTTCAATGTAGAAATCTGCACAGATGTGCACCACTTCCAGTTACCAAACTTCCTCCATGTACCAAACAAACCAAGAGAAGAGAATAAAGAGTAATTCAAAATAGAGGGAGAGAGAGAATAAAGAGAAGTGTGAGTAAGCCAAAATGAATAGTAATGTGGAAGAGCAATAGAGTTTTATTGGATTTGATAAATCACAAAGTAAGTGTGAATGCATCTCCGCCAGCCATCACCGAGAACGATTTTAAGCCAACCATATCACCGATTGTCTCCAGTCTTCATTGGTTCACACCACCATCCTCAGGACCCCAACGAAGCAGTCAGTCAGTTAGTCAGTTTACACCTCCCTACGTTACTGACTGGTTGACTGGCTTAAATTAACTGTTTTGGATTTCATTGACTGATGAAGCCATGTTTTTACTTGACCGCCACCACCACTTACTAGCTAACTCCCTTTCCAAACTCATCCAACCTTTGTCAGTGACTAACATCGCCCGTAGTCGAGGAAGGCGATGGGTCTTCATGCGTCCGCCTAGCACCTGTCCTAACCATCTTAATCGGTGTCACTTCACAACCCTATGCATTGACTTCTCCCCTCACCTAAAAGTCGACGCGTAACCACAATAATACTGACTCTATTATGCTACCTGACATGAAAAACAGAACGCAGACATCTATGTTCAAACACAGCCAGCCGGCGTTTTCATACTCTCCACTCTCAATGGCCATGTCACACAGCCAGCCATAAAGAAGGACAAGGCGAACTGATGAGCAGTACACACGCCCTCTGGTCCACAGCTAGCCAGCCAGACGAATATCACGTCTACACCACAGATGGAGTAATTTGGCAAATCCCACACAAGCCTGTTTTGTTCGTGGTCAACACGCTCTATCAACCACTTGATTCCTGCCTATCTTTAAGTTACGAGTCAGTGTAGTCCAGTCAATTCCTGTAGCCTCATCATCTTACATTTGACATCAGGAGTGAATCACTCCCATGACAGACATTCGAGGATTGCTGTTCAGCTGAAGGTGGTCAGAAGACTCTGCTTTATTTTGTCAGCGTCTTCACCTTCATCATCTGCATATTTTAAGTCAACGAGACTACTATTCCGTGGTGGTAACAAGTCGATCTCTGAATCTCTGAAGTGAGTTAGAGTTATGTCCATTAGCATATACATCTATGATGAAATTAAAAATTAATGGGGATAGTGTGCATCCCTAATGGACACCATTTGTTAACTTGCTTTGTTTAGTTCTACTCTCTGCTGCTGGAGAGTGAGAGGAAGGTTAATGACTGAACCTTTGTTCATCAAATTATCACCAATCTCGAACGATTGAAATAACGCAACTGTTATACCTGATGTGTTATAAAACTGCAATAATAACATCAAAGGCTAGGACTGCTTTTTACTAAGACGTAAACTTGGTATATTATGGTCACCAGGAGATGCGTTACACAAAATCTTATATTATGTGAGAGAGCTCCGCGATACTGCCCAGACACCCAGACCGAGGCAGGTGGTTGTCTTAAGGCGTCACTCTCCGAACTCTTTGACTTAAAGTCCGATTCACAAGGCAGCGGAGCTGCGTTCCTGTGGTTGCCGGTCACTGAAATCAGGTGCATATGCCATTCAATCCTTTGGGTTTTTGGGACCTATTTACATTGGTTCCCGTAGATTTACCTCCATTTTCCACCATTCTAGTTGTAAGCGCCAGACATTCTCATTTAATTAATAACTTTTGTGAGGAAGGCGGTGAATCGGACTTACCTCGTAGAAGCTATGAACGCATGTTCACATGATAGGAAGACTGGAATCTATCGACTCTCAGGCAAAGCGCATCGTTTATTGGGGGGTAAGTTATAAAGTCGTGTGAATACATTACTGTGCCATAAATTGTGCTCATAACGTCATCCACTTATTAAAACTGCTTCACTCTGTGTTATGTCAGATAAATTCATCTAATATGGAACTATAATAGGTGTTGTTAATAGTCCGAAGTTATTTGGTAATTGTCACTCGAAAAGACTTATACTCTTTATATGTTACTTTCAGACGGTCGCTCTTTGGGATCTACGCAATCTGCGATTGAAACTGCATTCTTTTGAATCTCATCGAGATGAAATATTTCAGGTTAGTGATAGTAATTATTACTTATCTTCTTGCTAATCCATTGAGACTATCTGTTTATTTTAATTATTACTGAACAAAGAATAGTCTTTTTGATAACCTGCTCTTCATCATCAGGTTCTACAGTTATATATGAATGCATAATAATGAAAGAATGCTTGTTATTGACAATATCCCGGTGGGTGCGTACTGATGAAGAGTCACAAACTAGGACGAAACAGCTGTCCAGTACTCCCAGGTTTTCCAATGTTCTCTAACTATTGTCAGCTCATGATGAAATCCTGTAACCACATCAAATCCCTACAAACCAACACTTGAATAACATTGATGTTTGTTTTTAGAGTAACATCGAATCGTTTAGATCAGAAATCCAAACGGTATTTGCAAATAGATTGTTAATAGATAATAGTCTAAAATATATGTGTATGTGGTAATACCTGTAACTGTAACACTAAATTCATTCCCAATATTACTAAGTAAGTGATTATGAATGACAATGTATATATAGTAATGGATTCTCATGAATCGTGTTCATATTCGGTTCTAAGCTTCAAATGGATGAATGATCATGTCAAGCACGGGAGAAAGGGAAAAAATTCGGGGTAAAAGGTTGTGTGCTTTGTGTGTGTGCATGTGTTCCGGTGTGTATGATCACAACTACGTCTGAATAAGAAAGAAAAGGTTAGTTAACGCAAGTGTGATAATGAAGGGTAGGGGAATTTATATGTACAGGATAAACGGCCATATCAAACAGGCCGATGTAATAAGGTATTTATGAATTACTGAAAATACCCATTGAGTCATGAAGAAAATAAAAGACAGATTCAGTGAAGAAAATTTCCTTTATCGACGAAATCATCTTCAGAGGCTATACAGTCGTATTTATACTTAGTAAAAAATATATAGTGGTCTATTATTGAGTAATAGGGGGTGACATAATTGATATAATTACTCAGAAGTTGCTTTAGAAGTGAAAATTAAAGGTTGTAAATTACGCAGTACTCAACGGCACAAAGAAAGAAATTTGATAAGGTTAAAATTGCTCTTGAGTGAGAATAAAGGTGTCAATTTAACAAGTTTTCACTTCCAAAGCAACTTCTGAATAATTATATCAATTATGTCACCCCCTATTACTCAATAGTAGACCACTATATATTTTTTACTAAGTATAAATACGACTGTATAGCCTCTGAAGATGATTTCGTCGATAAAGAAAATTTTCTTCTCTGAATCTGTCTTTTATTTATGAATTCACAGACTCCACAGCAGGTCACGGCAGTGATAGTGATTGGTTTATTTATTTATTTATTTTTGATTACAGCTTGATTCCATGCTGTATTTTTGGTACAAGCATGGGATTTTCAACATGGATATCGGTAGCCCAATTTTTGCAGGCCGACCATAGATATCAGGTGTGCGCTGGTGTGGGCTCGAACCCTGGACCATGTGCATGGTCGTCGAGAGTCCTAACCACTGTGCCACCGACGCACACATGGACCTGTTTCTTCTGTACACAGAGCACTGATTGTTTTACGCGGATCGCAATAGCCTCTGCTGTCTGGAGTGAGTATTCGGTACCTGGATTCTTTTGGTAATCTATTTGGTGCCCGGTTGATGATAGAGAAGAACTCTTCAGTGCTGGCTTTGTGGCTGGTGTCTTTAGACTAGGTGGTCTAATATTGAACTGATGATGGTTTTGAATACACCTTTATTTAGCCACAATATTGGTAGGTGTTCCCCAGTTAGCACGAAAAATGAAGTTCCTAGAGCAACGGCTAATATAACTCGATCTAACACAGGCGCAATCGGATTGGTAGATGCAGTTAGAATTGGCTAGTCCAGGTACTCCATGTTTCAACTGAGGGATCACCATTGGTCGTGTAGAAAATAAGACGTGTAGTTTGCCAGCAATAAAAGTTCTTTGCACTGATTTTCTTAACTTTTTAGTAATTATTTCGTTAGATGCATCACCTTTGAATAACAGTCGTGTATGTAGAGGCTTCTTATTTACATATGGAGAATAATCCTTTTCTGCATTCCTGGTCGTGTGTTTCATGCTGAACTTTCCCGGATAGCTATTTTCGATTAAAGTGTCAAATGAAGTACTAAGTTCATCTAGTTTCCAGTAAAGTAAAAATCCCCATAGTCTAATCAAAACAAGATAATTATGAGCGAACAATTGTTTCCGATATATTCTTCCTCAGGCTCTACACTTAGTTAACCATGACTCCATTAGAATACAAATAGCCATCATTAAAAGCATGTGAAAATTATACCAGAAACTGTCTGTCTGTATTGTCGTACATGTATATACTATGGAGTGATAGTTCGCTATCTAATTTTGTGAAATTAACTAACTTATATCAAAAGTGTGCAGTCATTCTGAGCAGAACACAAGATAAAGTGTGAATACAGACAAATAGGTGACAAAATATTTAGAGCTCTAAATATTTTGTTCTGAATAAATTATGGGAATATTCAATTTACTGAAAGCTTATTATAATGAATAATAAAGCTTAGTGTAAATTACAAACGGTTGACACATAATAAAGGTAGTGGAGTAAAGTGAACTAGGTGGAAAGGAATAAGGAAGGCATAATGCGGTTTAAAAATATGGATGATTATGTCTCTGTTGTCCATATAGTAGACCAGGGTAAACAAAGAGGATGAATGTGCTTCTTTTGCACTGCAGGTCGGGTTTTTCCTTACTAATCTCTACTGCTTCTGCTATAACTTCGAGACGTAATTGTGTGGCTTTAAGCAGATTGTTTGGTACTGGATATACAACCGTAAATGACTCCATCTATGTTGATGTAGTATTCACTATCTGCTAGACGGGACAAAATGGTACCATTTATTGATTTAGTTACACTTTTTGCAAGCCAAACAGGAACATGTTAACAAACGCGTAAGGATAAATTCCTCTGAATTCGACCTATATAACTAGCTCCACACGAGCAGTCGAACTTGTATGCACACATTCGTGTGGCCATCTTTGGTAAATTATATTTGGTGCACTGTGTCAGTAACGGTTTGGCTGAGAAATTGATATGTAGTTTTGCGGGAATGAAAGTTCTTTCCACTGGTCTGATCAACCTACAGCTTAATGTATATGCGGTGATACACTGTACTCTCAAATAAGGCTTTTTCTTATACACCATGTCACACTTAATATTATCATTTCTTTGGGAAATATACTTCTTTACAGAATTGGTAGGATAACCATTTTGTAGCAGAATAGTTTTAAGGTTTTCGATTTCATCTTCAATACAATCTGCAGTACGTTTACGTTTAATTCTATGACTAAGACAACAAATCAGGTTCCGTTTATCTTGTACGGGTATGAAACCATGGTAATGGATATAGTTTTCATTCCATGTTGCTTTTCTGTAGATATGTAGCTTTAACGTGCCGTCTGGCCTTTGGGTAAGAAGAACATCCGAAAAAAATGCTTGCTTGATATTCTTCTTCGCAAGTGAATTTAATCACCCGGTGCACGTTACTGATGACTTGTATCAGATGTTGTGTATCCAAATTATTGTTACATATGATGAATTTGTAATCTGTATAACGTCAATATTCAAGCTTGTTTAATACCTCTCTTAGAGGACCGCTTTCTAATTTAGCTGGGAAAATGTTACCTAGAGGGAAACCATAGCAACCCCATCTGTTTGACAATAAAACTCCTTTTTAAATACAAAATGGACATTCATAGTGCATTTTAGCAACAATTCCTTCAATTCTTTAGATGTAATCCCAGCATTTATTTTTCTCGTAACAACTTGTTCGCATATGTAATCCAATGTTTCAACCAGGGGAACATTCGTAAATAGTGACGTTACATCCAACGGTAACATGGTTTAATGTTTAATTTTGTACTTTACAACGAAGGAATGATTTAGGAAATAATTTAGGATGATGGTTACAGTTCCGGATGAAATCCACTTTCGATTTCGCTTCAGCAACCTTTGCCCTATACTTTAGATCCTCATTGAGTGTCTTCAGTGCAATGCGATGCTCACCTGATTTCAGTAAATTAAAAATCCTCCTAGTGTAATCAGAACAGGACGATCATCTTCATCATCACCTTGTTCTTGTAATTTACACTAAGCTTTATTATGTTTCTAGTATTTGATTACAGTACACAATTTAACCGCCTTATTAATAATAATAATAATAATAATAATAATTTTGTCACTACACTTGACATCTGTCAGTCTTATCTTGAACTTGCATTCAGCGTTTCCCATTTGTTTGTATGTATTTTGTGGTAATCATTTTTCCCCGCACACCATTGAATATAACTCACTCACTCCCTCATCCCACCTCACCCCCAATGAAACTTATATTCTCTTGACTATTACTGCATTAGTATTGTCTGTATTCACACTTTATCTTGTGTTCTGTTCTGAATGACTGCACACTTTTGATATACGTTAGTTAATTTGACAATATTAAATAGCGAACTATCACTCCATATTATATACATGTGTAGTGAGAGCTGGCTGTTAGCCAAAATTGGTGAACAGTAATTTACGTCAATGTTTATGTTCCCAATATTAGTCGTGAGAAAAATGAGAACAAAGGTGGATACAGTTAGAATATAGATGATCTGACATTCAAGAAACAGCCACAAAGAGAAGAAAGATTAACTTTCAGGGTGAAATCACCAATCAGAAGACTGTGTTTTTCTGCTAACAGTAATCTATAATAATGTACATGAAAATCTATAAATATGTGTTGATTTCCTTAATGAACTATCTGTTGACTGGCCCTTGTCTTCTGTTGTTACACATGTACCCCAATACAGACAGATAGTTTCTGGTATAATTTTCACATGCCTTTAATGATGGCTATTTGTATTCTAATGGAGTCATGGATTAATAAGTGTAGAGCCTGAGGAAGAATTTATCGAAAACAAGTGTTTGCTCATAATCATCTCATTTGTCTTCAGGTAATGACTGACTGATATCAGCGTAGAACGTTGCACAGATATGCACCAGTTCCACCTGCCACACTCCGTGCATGTACCAAACAAACCAAGAGTCAAGTAAAGAGAGATTCATAACAACTCAAGAAACAGATAATATACATAATTGTGAGGATAAGGGGTCTGGATGTTTAGGATCATACAATATGGATTCAGACCATTTTTCGCATGAGTTGTTCACTTGTCTATCAACTAATGTAGTAACAAGCTGACTGACTAATTTGCACACCCATTGCCCTACTGACAACCTTCAATACCCTTGTTCTTGAAATGACATAGTCCTTTATCAGTAGCCGAGGAAAGACTAAGAGAGGGGAATAGTGAAGTATAAAAGGTAAGACACGAGTTCACAGATTGTAAAATTAGAGGTTGCGTGATACCTACTTGATTGTATTAATTTCTTAACGTAGTGGTTTAGACAGAACATTTTCTTGGAGATCGACAAACTACGGGATGGCTATTAACGTCAGATGATGGAACTATATTAAGCTATCTGGTGTTAGACTTAGTTTCTATCACATTTCACTTGATTATACATCTACTTCGACTCTGTACACATACGCCTCATTTGTGTTAAACAGGCTTTTTGTGACAAAGTGCTTCCTTCCATTCTTACTTTCCCGATAGGAAGCAGTACACTGTTCACAATGGGAAGTCTTCCATTGCTTTGCTTACTGTAGCTAATGTCCCTCAAGGTGCTGCTCTTTCTCCTTTCCATTCTTCTTTCTTCTTACATGACTTATCTCATTTAGAAGAAACCAATTATAAGTTAAGTATTCCAATAGTCTGTCTCCATAATGGTTACTTTTCAATCAGATGTTTCCAAAATGAATAACTTTTTATCAGAAGTTAGTCAGTCGTTCTTATCAAATGGTCTTAAGCTAAATCCCTCTACAAATGTCACGCTGTTAGTTTCACTTTCGAACTCAATCGCGACTTACCTGAACTGGTTCTTTCCCATGATTCTAGTATCATAAATGGCTCTGAAGTTGAAAGTTAAATCGAGTGTCAAATACCTTAGATTGTGTATTTTCTCTAATCTTTCCTGGCCTTCCCACATTGTGTTAATTTCGAGAAATATATTTTATGTAACCTTCTATGTAATAAAGTTAAGACGATGTGATACCACCTAGTCTCTAATTTTAAAGTTTGTTAATTTTTGTATTCTACCTATTGTTCTTTATTGTTCCCTCACACCTTAATCTTTTATGAGCTACTTAAGAAAGACTGTCACACTGCGAATGGCACTGAAAGATGTCAGTAAGGCGAGTGAGGTGTTGCTGAGTCAACTTGTCAATTCTGTTATAGATAGGTACTTGGACTCATACCAGATATTATCTAATATTATCTTGTCAGACTCTGAGAATCCTCTCTATATACAGCCTTCTCCTTGCATTTCATCAGGAGGGTCTAGAAGTAACTAAGTAAGACTTTATGCTTGGATGACTAAGTAATGTAATCTCTACGATACACCTTATTTGGCAGGCACACATTTAATGTGAGAAGAAAAGTATGAAAGGCACGACACGACTAACTTTGTAGAGAAACACTAAGTAAATAGCCCTTTTTGTTTCTTCATTCCTTACTTATCTAAGTGTTAATATTTCCAATTACATTTTAATTTTTGTATTCATGTTTTTGTTTAACAATATCAATATAAATGCCCTGTCTAATTATTACTTCTGCACTACATCTTGAGAACATTAGATGTAATATTGTCCCTTGTGGATAAAATTTGTTTTGATAAAGTCTCACAATGTTATACAGTAATATTTACTGATGACCTTTCGAGCACATTTTATTGCTCATAATCATTTGATATAGTATTGTACTACTTGCTGAAAATTCCACATGGTGTCGAAAGAACTGTTTTAAATAAAGCCATTATCATTACTATTATTGGAAACACTTATCTCCCGATACAAATTTAAAACAAGGAACCAAAGTTAGTAAAACAGGATTTAATGAATTCATCAAATTTCGGTAGAACTCTTCCTCAGCTGAATACTACTCTACATACAGGGATATATATATATATATATGTATATATATATATATACCATTGTAAATATATTTGGTGATATACTGTAACGGCAGAAGACAATAGTCAGGCGACAGATTGTTTATTGAGAAAGTCAAGAGATATATATTTTTATGTACATTATTATTCGCTATTTTAGCAGAGAAACAACGACTTCTGATTGGTTCTTCTTGTTGAAGGTTATTCTGTACTGTTTGTGACTATTTCCTACAAAGTTATCTATACTTCTGCGGATCGTATTTGCACATACTAAGTCTGCTGTGATTGGTTGTTGAGTTCCTGAAGGTTAGGCTTTGTTCTAGTTTTTTCTCATGACCCCGATTCGGGACATAAACAAAAACGTAAAATATTGTTTACAATTTTGGCTTGCAGACAGCTCTCACCACAATACGACTGATAAGCAAATAAACTATGTTGAATTACTCATGCAAACCGACACATGTGTGAATTTTTTTCAGGTCATGTTCAAATAGAGTGGGAGAAGGAAGTGTTAGAGATTAAAATTAAGATAAAATGCAATGCGATTCAATTACATCATTTAGATAAACAACTAGTCATTAGAGAAAGGACTTAAATAAGCAAAATGAGTAATGTTTATAGTAATAGTTTTAATAATAATTCAGTGTTGAAATGAGTTAAGGTAGTGTTACTGATAAAAGATATTTTTAAATGAATCAGGAATAATAATGATAAGTTGAATGAAGTGTTAATAATAATAACAGCAGTTAATAGGTAAAACATATTACCATGATAGATTCAGAGTGACGACCATTTCCTTTTGTATACAAGGAAAGACCTGGTTTATAAGCTCTGATTGGCCAAGCCTCCTTCGGAATTGCAAGCATCTTCCTGTTTACTTGTTTGCTGACAATAACAGTGAATGAATTGAAACGTCGATATCATATCCGTAGCCCACAAAGTGCTTTGTTATTTAGCTTTTTGGCACTTTAAATTCAGGCGTTTGCAACCACTTTGGCAAATACTCCGTCATGCGAGTAGACAATCGCCCTTTTGTATGACCTATTTGCTTTCACTCAGATTGATGTATACAAGTCGAAGATTCGAGGATTGGATTATTATTAGTATATTTATTTTATGTTTATTATCTTTCACTGACAGGTCCAATGGTCACCACATAATGAAACAATACTTGCTAGTTCAGGTACTGACCGACGTCTTCATGTTTGGGATTTAAGCAAAATTGGTATCGATCAGACTCCTGAAGATGCAGATGATGGTCCACCTGAATTATTATTCATACATGCTGGGCATACAGCAAAGATTTCCGACTTTTCATGGAATGTTAATGATCCATGGACTATTTGTTCTGTTTCTGAGGATAATATTTTACAAATTTGGCAAATGGTAAGTTAAGGTTACTGAGATTTTACTTCATGAGTTTTTTAAGAGTGAATATGTCACAGTTAACTGATAAAGCTACTTTTAGGTGTTAGTGTGACTATTTGAAGGCCTTGTCATCATTTTAACTTGTTCTTATCTTTAAGCTTTTACATTACTGATTTAGATATTCAGTCTGCTCGTAATGTTATTTATTACAATTGCTTTGAGTTCCTAATGGAACATACGGTTTCAAAAACACATCTCCACTTTCTTCTATTCGGTGCTATCCTCTTCAACTGGGTCCACGATTCCCCATTATTTCTCATCTCCTCTTACTCCAACTCACACAGTCTCTTCTGTGTCATAAAAGCACGGACGACCCACTTGTCCATCACTTTCAATTTGGATTCAACTCGAGCGATGGTTTGCTTTGAGCACGATATCATTTGACAGCCTCCTCAGAGTATATCCAGTCAATTCATCTCTGTTTTTTCCTACATATTTGTTGAGCTATCGGCTCTCTCTTGGCTCGCAATTAGTTGTGTTCTCTGAACTGGTTGGTTTAATTGCGGAGCTTCTTTCTGGACAACATCTTCAGCGCAAGTTTTGGTATAAAATGAACTGATTTAAATTCTCCATGAATGATAGAATTGCGTTTCCTGGTAACCATCTTCGTGACTGGTAGTCGATTTACATCTGTATTGATAATTTCTTATTGACTTGGATTTTGAACTTTCTCATCATATGATATACTTTTTATTAGTAGATTTGTTCTATATTAACATGTTTGTTAACCGCATATTCGCTTGGGTACCAGGCTTCTAGGAATTCTCTGACACTTTTGGTGTTTCCTCTGTTTACAATTTCGACATCATCCTAATCAAATTGATGTCTATAATTATCTACATGCATTAATATGAAAGAATATACATCACGTCTTTTCACAGCTAATTTGTGTTCCTGGATTCTGATTCGAAGGGGACGCCCACTTTTGCCGATGTAATGTCTGTTACAGCTCGTACAACTTATTTTGTAAATGGTATTAATTTTATCTTCTTCTTCTGTTGTATCCTTCGGTTTGCACAATATGGAACTACGTGATCGGATTGGTTTATTTGCTATATCTATTTCAAACGGTTTCAATATTCTAGCTGTTATTTCAGAGATATTTTTTATGTGTGGTAGAATGAATTTTCTTGCAGTCTTTGGTGATGGTTTCTTGTTGGTGTTGTGACTCGATTTTGAAGGCTTTTTGTTGAGATTGTGAGGATATCCATTCTTTTTGAAGACAGTAAGTAGGTATTTCCCCTTCATTCTCTTCAACGGTGGAGTGCTACAGTGTGTTTGAACTCTTTTAAACAATGTCTGCACACAGTTTTTTGTGGGTTATTGGGTTATGGCTACTATAGTTGAGTATATGGTTTGTGTGCGTTGACTTTCTGTATACCTGTGTTTCTAAATTTCATGTGTTAGTTCTCCTGATTAGGGCATCTAAAATGGGATTTTTTAAATGTAATTCTTCTTCTCTTGAGAATTTTATGTCTTCAGATGTTGTTTATTAATTTATGGGTATATTCCAAATCATTTCTTTTCTTTTAATTCCAGTAGCCTCAAGCAGTTGTCCCCTGGGCTCTGTGGTCACGCAACACTAACCCTCTTTCTGTTTCAGGTACCTGAAGAATCAATCAACCTCCACGGTGTGGGCAACTGGGAGGTAACAACCACCCACACACTTCCAAGAGCACACGAATCCTTGCTGAGCATCATTCTACTTTATCCACATCACCTTACTTTACTACTACAGTCAGTACTATTCTTCAGGCTAGTGATTCATCTTCACTTCACTCTGCGACCACAAACAATGATGAGAGCCATAGAAACATCCCCCGACAGCCTCTTAAAACCGCGTCGCCAACTTCATATAGGAGCATTTAACGTCAAGACCATCTACCAAATTGGACAACAAGCATCATCATTAGCAAGAACTCTGACATCTCTAGCCATGGATATATGTTGTGTTTCGGAGACACGCATACAAGACACGAGTGTGGTCATTCACTTGACCTCACCCGGTCGACAAGGTGAATCTGCAAAATTCACTTTAAGGGTGTCAGGAGACCCCTCAGCTAGCTCGCAAGGACTTGCAGGTTTAGGGATAGCACTGAGTGTTAGGGCAGAAAAATCACTTCTTGACTGGATCCCAGTAGATAGTCGTATGTGCGCGGTCCGTCTGAATAGGTCCGTTATAAGAAGGAAAGACCGCGCTACCCGTCGTTACCTTTTCGTAGTCTCCGCTTACACCCCACCAGACTGCATTTCGGATGAACTAAAAGATGACTTTTACCTGAAACTGTCTAATTTGCTGCAAAATGCAAAACGTTCAGATATAGTTGTTTTAACAGGCGACTTCAATGCCAAAGTAGGGAAGTTGTGCCAAACTAAGAAGTATGTAGGTGGTACGTATGGAATTCCCTGCCGATGAACCGACAACGGCGATCGCCTTCTACAGTTCTGTTCAGATAATCATCTGTTCCTAGTCAGCACTAACTTTAGGCACAAAGAGAGACACTGCGTAACCTGGCGACCTCCATCACCAAATCAACGCTGGACTCAGATAGACCACATAGCCATAGGGTATCGTTGGCGAGGGTCAGTAGAAGACTGTCGCTCCTTCTGGAACACGTGCGTAGACTCTGATCACGCTCTGGTTCGCGTTTTATGCTTACGACTAAATGGACATAAGAAATTGACGGCAGCGAAACAGTTACATCCCCAACTAGATCGAGACACTGAGTCCCTATTTAAGGAAGAAGTAGCGAAACGAGTGTCTGAGGTCGACAGCAAGATTTCCCCTGAGGTAACCTGGCACAGCATACAGTTAGCTGTAGACAGCTGTAAAAGCTGTGAATAACCTGAAACCAAAAGTAAGTAAGAGCCATTGGATCTCTACCGCCTCATCCGAACTGATTGACGCAAGAAGACTGATTCCAGCGAACTCCGATTATGATGAGGAGCGAAAGCTACTCAAACGAAAACTAACAAGAAGTCTTTGCAACGACCGTAGGCGACAAAAGCGAAAGAGATGGAAAAGGCATCGGCGATTGGCAACACCAGACAACTATTTAGGCTTATCAGGGAAACGGGTGGGAGAAGGTAAATGATAAGTGAAACAATCTCTGAGAAAAGTGGCACCATAATTAGCTCCCTGGATAGACGACTAGGATGTTGGAAAGAACACTTTGAGGAGCAGTTTAATTGGCCCACATCCAAGCTTAACTTACCGAACATCCAACGCCTCCCTGAATGGTGTATAGACACAAGTCCTTAACTGAGGTTACTAAGTCTGTTACAAATCTGAAACTAGGTGAAGCAGCAGGACCTGATGGAATGACTCCAGAGTTATTTAAGTACTGTGGAAACAGTGTACTGTCTACGTTAACTAAGGTACTAGGTAGCGTCTTGGAATCACAGGGAGTCCCGTCGAGTTGGTGTAAGTCATTGATTATCCCGACATACAAGAAGGGAGACAAGTCTTCCTGGGATAATCACAGGGGGGATTATTCTGACTATTATGGTATCTAAAGTTCTAGGCTCAGTAATCATGCGTAGACTAAGCGGTCCACGGGAGGAACAAACACGAGGTAATTAGCCAGGCTTTAGAACAGGAAGATGGTGTATTGATCATATCTTGATTCTGCGACACATTCTGGAACATAGGCATACTCACCGGAGTCCAACAATCGTCATATTTCTTGACCTGATAGCAGCATTTCATTCCGTCGACCGAAGGGGTACTATAGTGATGTTTGGCTGCCAAGGAAATGTCGAGAAAATCCATTTCACTGATCAAGGCACTCCACCCGAAGTAATGCAGTCAGTCGGCCAGGTGAGAGCCTACGGAGAGGTGTTATCCGATAACTGTGGTGACAACTAGTGTTGTCCGTCAGGGATGCACACTATCCCCATTTCTGTAACAACAGAAGACAAGGGCCAGTCAACAGATCGTTTATTAGGGAAATCAACACATTTATAGATATTCATGTACATTATTATGGATTATTGTTAGCAGAAAAACACAGTCTTCTGATTGGTGGTTTCTCGCTGAAAGTTAATCTTTCATCTCTTTGTGGCTGTTTCTTGAATGTCAGATCATCTATATGTTAACTGTATCCGAGTACTCAAAGTCGGCTGTGGTTGGTTGTTGAATCAGTCTTTGTTCTTATTTTTCTCACGACCAATACTGGGGACGCAAACATTGACGTAAATTACTGTGTACCAATTTGGCTAGTAGCCAGCTCTCATCACAATTTCATCATAGATGTGTGTGCTGATGGAATTAACCCTAACTGACTTCAGAGACTCAGGGATTGACTTGTTACCAGGGAATAATCTCGTTAAACGCTTCAATTATATGGTTAGCTGCGTCAGCCAATGCCAGCGGGTTGATCACTGACGACATCTCAGCGCGGATACAGAAGGCTAGTTTCGTATATACCCGTTTACACCATCTCTGGCGTAGATGTGATATCCGACTAGCTGTCGGTCAAAGGGTGTGTGTACTCAGCAGTCCGCTCCGTCCTCCTTTGTGGCTGTGAGACCTGGTCATTCAGAGTGGGAAACATGAAAATGCTAGCTTCTTTGATCATAGGTGTCTGCGCTCTGTCTCCCGTGTGAAGTGGTATAATAAGGTGAGCAATATTGAGGTTAGGCTTCGATCGAGTTCTAGGTAAGGAGGGGAAGTCAGTCGACAAGGCTGTGAAGTTACATCGATTGAGATGGTTAGGACATGTGTTACGCGTGCACGCCTAGCCATCGCCTTCCTCGACGGGAAATGTTAGCTGACATAGGCTCAGGTTGGAAAAGAACTAGTGGTGGTCAAAACAAAACAGAGCTTCATCAGTCAATGAAATCCACAACAGTTAGTTTAAGCCAGCCACGTAGGAATGTGTAGACATCCTGGTTGAGGTCCTCAAGACGGTAAAAATCAGTGGTTGGAAACAATTGGTGATATGGCTCAGAATCAT